TTGGCATACCCCCTCGCATTCAATTTTAGTTGTCTTGGGCGAATGAGTCGATCGAGAATCTACAGGTGGGGGAAGTTGGGATGTACCCAAAAATGTTCGAAGTGGGGGTAAGGCTTCCCTTGTCGTCGTTTTCTCAGTTCTTCATGTGCCCGATCGAATTGGCTCCAATTCAACTTTCCTCAAATGACTACGGGGCTATCGACTTTTACATCGTCCTCTAAGATCGGTACGAGAGTAGGGAGAAGTTGATGATCAGCCAACTTTTTGCCGTTCACATGGTCAATCATATGCCAAAGGTGGCCTTGTAGTTTTATTTCGGAGTGTGTTCTTCATGATAATATAAATATAAATACATACCTCACGGTCATATATTGACTATACAATAATCTTAATATTAAATTCATTTATTTAAGAAACTAAATACATCATCTTTATGTCATCATCTTCAAATAATGACACACACATATATATATATATATATAACGTTGTCAGATTCCACATCGGTGGGAGAATTGAACGAAATATTTTATTAGAAGGGTGTGGAAACATCTCGTTAGGAGACATGTTCTAAAAATCTTGAGGGAAAGTCTGAAAGGAAAAATCCAAATAAGACAATTTCTAATATATATATGTAATGTTGTTAGATCCCACATCAGCGGGAGAAGTGAACGAAATATTTTTTTTAAGGGTATGAAAACTTCGGGGGTGGATTTTGAGATCTCACATCGGATTGGGGAGGAGAACGAAGCGTTTTTTTAAAAGGGTGTGGAAACATCTCCTTAACATACGTGTTCTAAAAATTTCAAGGGAAAGTCCGAAAGGAAAAACCCAAATAAGACAATTTCTAATGTATATATGTAATGTTGTTAGATCCCACATCAGTTAGAGCAACTGAACGGAATATTTTTTATAAGGGTATGAAAACCTCTGGGATGGATTGTGAGATCCCAAATCGATTAGGGACGAGAACCAAACGTTTTTTTATAAGGACGTGGAAACATTTGTTTAGCATACACGTTCTAAAAACCTTAACTGGAAGTCTAGAAGTAAAAACCTAAACAAGACTATTTCTATCGATAGTGGGCTTGAGCCGTTAGAAATGCATTTCTAAATAAAAGTTTTCCTTTATTTCGATATTCAAAATTTGAACAACATTTTTTTAAAAATTTTCGATCAGAACTACGACTTGGAAATAGTGAAGCAGTGATCTAAACGGCTTGGTGGTCCAATTGTTTCGTTTTGGGTCACTGCCACATGATTCCAAATTCAAATTTATGTCCAAAATTCTAAACGATTTTACTTTAAGGACAATCTTGAAATGTTTTTGAACGTTAAGGATCTTAAACGATTCTACTTTAAGGGCAGTCTTGAAATGTTTGTAACGTTAAGGGTCTTAAACGATTTTATTTTAAGGGCAGTCTAGAAATGTTTTTTGATGTTAAAGGTCTTAAATGATTTTACTTTAAGGACAGTCTTGAAATGTTTTTGAGCGTTAAGGGTCTTAAACGATTTTACTTTAAGGCCAGTCTTAAAATGTTTGTGAACGTTAAGAGTCTTAAACGATTTTACTTTAAGGACAGTCTTGAAATGTTTGTGAACGTTAAGGGTCTTAAACGATTTTACTTTAAGGGCAGTCTTGAAATGTTTTTGAACATTAAGGATCTTAAACGATTCTACTTTAAGGGCAGACTTGAAATGTTTGTAAGGTTAAGGGTCTTAAATGATTTTATTTTAAGGGCAGTCTAGAAATAGTTTTTAATGTTAAAGGTCTTAAATGATTTTACTTTAAAGACAGTCTTGAAATGTTTTTGAACGTTAAGGGTCTTAAACGATTTTATTTTAAGGGCAGTCTAGAAATGTTTTTTAATGTTAAAGGTCTTAAATGATTTTAGTTTAAGGACAGTCTTGAAATGTTTTTTAACGTTAAGGGTTTTAAACGATTTTACTTTAAGGGCAGTCTTAAAATGTTTGTGAACGTTAAGAGTCTTAAACGATTTTACTTTAAGGGCAGTCTTAAAATGTTTGTGAACGTTAAGAGTCTTAAACGATTTTACTTTAAGGGCAGTCTTGAAATGTTTGTGAATGTTAAGGGTCTTAAACGATTTTACTTTAAGGGCAGTCTTAAAATGTTTGTGAACGTTAAGAGTCTTAAACGATTTTACTTTAAGGGCAGTCTTGCAATGTTTGTGAATGTTAAGGGTCTTAAACGATTTTACTTTAAGGGTAGTCTTGAAATGTTTGTGAACGTTAAGAGTAAAACGATTTTACTTTAAGGGCAGTCTTGAAATCTTTGTGAACGTTAAGAGTCTTAAACGATTTTACTTTAAGGGCAGTCTTGAAATGTTTGTGAACGTTAAGGGTCGTAAACGATTTTACTTTAAGGGCAGTCTTGAAATGTTTTTGAACATTAAGGGTCTTAAATCATTCTACTTTAAGGGCTGTCTTGAAATGTTTGTGAACGTTAAGGGTCTTTATCGCAATTTTTTATATCTTTTCAAAATAAGGGTATTTATGAAGGACTCCCTCGTTGTTTGACTTAAAAATAAAATTATTGTTCGGTGTAAAGCGGGGCGGGAAAGAGACTCACCAAATTAAACCTACTCCCATAAATTAAAAAGGGGAAATTTAAAAATGAATGAATGATTCTAAAGTTTGAACCATATGAATGCATCATCCACTTCTAAAAGTATGCCTTTTCACATTAAATGGTTGCACTTTTACGTTGTGTTCTTACTTGAAAATGTCTCATCTTTCAAAATAATTATTCAATTTGAGTGTTTTGTGTGAAAATGTCAAAGGCTTTGAGCTTCATTAAAGATTCTTAAAGGGGAAAACGTAGTGTTTTTTTTTTCTTTTTTCGGTAATTTGTTCGGGGAATAATTGCAATCGGTAGGTAGGTGTTATGGCTTTCTTGTTCTCGATCTAATTATTCTGAAATTGGTTTATTTTAATGAGATTGATACTTATTTAGAGAAAAATCTGACCTAATTCAACTCGGGTGAAAATATTAGAAATGCTTCTTAAAGGATTACGAGTTTACGACTCCACTTTTGGTACAACTTTGAAAATCTTCGAAGAATTAGTCTTGCCCAGTCACATGAGTGGTCGTGATTGACTATAAATCCTTCATATTTGATAAGCCATGTATAATTAGAGATGTTCATTTATCCCGTGAGTTTGAGCCCCGTAGATAATCTGTTTCAAATGGGATGGGTTATTAATGGGGAGGGAGCATGGAGACATTTTTTTCCCGTTGAGTTGTGAAGTACGAACATGGATTGTATTTCGTTTAGATAAAAATTATATTGTAAAATAGAAATTATGCCCGATAATAGTTTCTTGAGAAGAACGATTAAAAAAAAAAAAGGAAAAATTTTCCTATGGGGAACCCAATCCCGATGCATTCCCCACAAGGGATCCTCATCACATCCTTGTAAAAATAAATGAAAATTTTTGCACAGGTGAGGAATGAAAAAGGGAGAAAGAACGGGCATCTTATATATTATACATATATATGTATATATCATAGGAAAGTTATGTCATAAAACGTATGAAAGTATGATGTGCATTATAATCACGTACCGTGATTTAAAATGCAGGATCTATCCATGTACGTCACGAGCACAGGCTACTTCCCATGTATGTTTTGTAGGGACTAGTACATCATGTATGAGCTCATTTCTTCCCATTAATATCGGTCAAATGAGAGTGTGAATATAATGTTTGAGGGTTACATAACCGAAAGTAGGCTTATACATGCATAAATTCATTTCAAACATAATCAATAGATATTAATAATAAAAATAGCGCCTCTTATCAAAGTTTCGAAATAAAATGCTCATATCTTAATCTAACATGGAGTCTACAACTTAAATCCATCTCGTACGGGTTCCATGGCCTCCTCGGTTAACACCGTCATCCGTACATGAGGTCCCTTGGAGTCATAAAATGTAGTCACATATAAAATAGTTTCACCCACTACAAAACTAACATCATTTATTTTAGATAAGAACGATTCAAATGAAGATAGATGATAACACCTTTCAAGTGGTCTACTTTTATACTCAAGTAAATTAAAACTATATGAATTAAGAATTATGATTGTCGGACGATAACAAGTACATCATAAACTAATTCACATTAAAAAAAAAAAAAAAAAAAAAAATCTTCAATCAGCTTCTAGTTGACCAGACATAGATAAGGTTTAAAGAGCCTAAGCCGAAAGTGTACATTATCATATAGTTGATGGAGATATGCGTGTTAGATGAACATGACTCTCTATAATGGGATGATATTATCCACTTTGGGCATAAGGTCTCATGGCTTTGCTTTGGGCTTCCCCAAAAGGCCTCACAATAATAAATGGAGATAGTATTTCTTGATTATAAACCCATGATCATTCCCTAAATTAGCCGATTGACTTTCATCCAACATCTCCCCTCAAACAAAGTACGCTTCCTCTTAATCGAGGCAGTCGAACAAAGTCACGAAACCTTATGCTCAAAGTGGACAATATCATACAATTGTAGAGATCCGTGATTTCTAACATGGTATCAGAGTCATGCCCTAAACTTAGTCATGTCAATAGAATCTTCAAATATCGAACAAAAGTATTGTGAGCCTCCAAGGCATAGTAAAAAATGACTAAGACTCCAAAAAGAAAAAAGAGTTGAGCCTCGATTAAGGGGAGGCGTACTTTGTTCGAGGGGAGGTGTTGGATGAAAGTCCAACATCGACTAATTTAGGGAATGATCATGGGTTTATAATCAAAGAATACTATCTCCATTGGTACGAGACCTTTTGGGGAAGCCTAAAGCAAATCCTCAAAGTGTACAATATCATACCATTGTGGACCATTGTGGAGATCGTTGATGGCTAACAATGTGAACTTTTCATTGTTCTCCTAACGTTTTTACAATCTTAAATGTCTTTTAAAGTTAATTCAAGTTTGTAAGTTGTTTAGAAACTATACAGGTACATAGTTGATTTGAAAGATTCTCTAACTCCAAAACCCGACCTGGTCAATTGGCCCTGAAGTAGAACAGCTCCAACCACCTCATGACAAGTGTCACCTCCTTAAAACTCTAATCAAGCAATGTTCGGATCCAAACTACCCTATAAAATCACAACCAGAAGTGTTCTTAATCAACAAAAACAAAAGATTAATCACCAAAATCCATTCAGATTTTCAACTCTGCAAAAATAAATGGCAGACAACTCTCAGAACCTGAGCTATCAAATTGGAGAAGCCAAGGGCCAAGCACAGGTTCACTTTCCCTTGAATAGTTCATATTTGATCTCATACTCAAATTGGTAACCTATTGATTTATGTGAATATGTAGGAGAAGGCGAGTAATTTGATGGATAAGGCAAGTGATGCAGCCCAATCAACTAAGGAGACAATACAAGAGACAGGGCAACAGATGATGGTCAAAGCCCAGGATGCGGTTGATTCTGTTAAGGATGCTACTGGCTTGAAGAAATGAAGCTTTTCCATTGCCCGTTTCTCCATGTAATCGTTGTCATTTATTGAATATTTTTAAATATTCATCCTGTGATCAGATAAAGATAAAGGCCCCACATACTGATGGGTGCCAGTTGAATTGACCATGAAATAAAGTCACGCTAGATAGTTTTTAACCTCGTTTGTTGTTCTCGAATGGGTTCTCTAAAAAAACAAGATGAAGACGTTTCATTTCTAATTATTCACTGTTAGTCAGTAATGAGGGTTGGCTTGGATTACTTAGTGTTGTGTGCCTAGGAGGGTAGCACGCTTTGAGATGTGGAGGAGCTATTATCACCCAACTCCCAAACCTAATGTGGCACCAGGTTCGGGCCACAGGGAACTGTAGCATTGGGGGGACGTCTAATTCTTTTGTTGCTACAAGATTGGCTAATCGTATGAAGACCCCTGGTTCTAGAAGGCACATGAGTCCGAACGCTATAGCATAAACTAAACATCCAAAACTTGCACGTGTATTAGATTGGGAGGACTAACTTGCCAAGGTTCTTGAGGTGTTCTTAGACTAATGGCAGAGGGTTGCTAAGAGTTAGGCTCTTCTACTCATTATTATCAACTCAAGAGCCAATACCTTGGGATTTTGTACACTGTATTAAGCAAGATAGTAGCATACTCAACTTGACTCAGGAGATTGATACCTGAAGAATAGAGGCTAATGCTAGAAAGGGCATTGATCAATCTAAATTTAAGCACATAAATTGAACAAGAACATGACATGCGCGACCCATGGTTATAGTTAAAGTGGTATTGAACTATGGCTTGCATTACTGGCCAGCAAAGCGAAATTCTTAAGACTTTAATATGAATAAATCCAGTAAAAAGACAAGATTCCATGGTAAGCAAGCGTATAGAATCATAAGTACCGTCGTTTTTAGGAGTTCATCGCATTTCATCCGTCTGTGTATCATTGTAACAGCTCAAGCCCAATCCTCTTTAGGGTTTTCTTTTTGGGCTTCCCCTTTAAGGTTTTTAAAACGCGTCCTCTAGGGAGAGGTTTTAACACTCTTATAAAAAATGTTTTGTTCTCCTCCTCAACCGATCGCACATCTATATATATGAAACTCACCAGTAATCCCCACACGAGCAAGTACCGTCCTTAAATTGGTGAAACCGACGAGCATCTCTTACTATAATTTCTCTCCTTGCAACCTTCGATACGAACTTCATAAAAGTATGACAATCGACACAAACTCGGAGATTCTTCTGTAGTCTAACGACGCTACCTGATCCAGAATTCAAGAGCCCAAAAACAATAGCAAGCTTTTCACTATGCACATATAGAAGCCTTTCCTTCGTCTCTTCCTCCACATCATGTAATACAAAATTCAAATCAGGGGTATACCCTTCTTCTTGAATCCTATAAATCACTTTATCCAACTCGGAGTAAACCATTTCAGTTTGTGGATGAGATCGATCCCCGGCCACAAATGTATGAACCTTGTTTTTTATCTGAATAATCGTGTGGCCTGCAATTTTTCTCAGACCTCTTTGTTTCATAAGAGCTCTAATTTGGTCTGCTTCTTTTCTTTTTCCAGATGAAAGGTATATATTGTACAGAAGAACATACCTCCCAGGATTCTCCGGGTCCAACTCGAGTAAATTCATTGCAGCAACTTCAGCCATTTCTACATTTGAATGTATTCTACATGCCCCAAGTAATGCACCCCAAACCCCAGCATTGGGTCTAATTGGCATTTTCGAGATAAACTCAAAGGCTTCTTTAAGCTTCCCAACTCGACCTAAGAGATCAACCATGCAAGCGTAATGTTCGGGTCCCGGTTTCAGCTCAAAATCTCTAGACATGGCATTGAAGCAATCCCATCCTTCTGCAACCAAACCAGCATGACTACAAGCTGCTAATATTGATACAAATGTTATGTGGTCAGGCTTGGTTGAGTTCTTCATTTCATTGAAGAGACATATTGCCTTCCTACCATGGCCGTGTAATCCATAGCCTGAAATCATGGTGCTCCATGAGATAACATTTCTTTCCTTAATGTTATCAAAAACTTTTCTGGCATATATTAAACTTCCACATTTGACATAGAGATCAACAATGGCAGTTTCAACCACTATTTGGTTTCCGAAAAGCCTTCGGATAACAAAACCATGTACGAAACACGCCTGGCTAAAAGATCCTAAAGCTAAACAAGCACGAATTACACCCAAAAGGGTGATAGAATCAGGCAGAAGACCTTTGAGTGTCATTTCTCTAAAAATCTCCATAGCTTTCAGGGGAAGATCAGCCTGCACATAAGCTTCAATCATCGACGCCCACGACACCAAGTCCTTGCTATGAATTCCATTAAAGATCTCTTGAGCTGTGTCAATTCTTCCACATCGTGCATACATACCAACTGCTGCGTTTTGGACTGATTGATTTAAACCAAGCTCATGATCCATGGCCATTCGACAAACATCATCAGCTTCCTTCTCTGAGTGTATGCACGCCATGACATTCAACAGTACAGACCTGTTTAATTGAAATCCTTCAGCCAACATCAGCGAAAACAACGACACTCCTAAACTATATTGACCATTTTGTGCATAAGCACCAATGATTGAACTCCAGGACACCACATTTCTTTCAGGCATTTTATCAAACACCTCTCGTGCAAGCTCTGAACGCCCACATCTACCATACATTGCAATGAGTGAATTCGCAACAAAAACATCCAACTCATACCCAAAATTCACAGAATCATAATGAACCCTAACCCCAAAATCCAAATCCTGCACACACCCACACGCCTTGAAAACAAATGGAAACGTAAAATTATCAGGTCGAATACCCAAATCCAGCATTTGGGCATAGAGAAGCATGGCCTTACGATAAAACCCAGCATCAACAAAACCACGAAGCATCACATTCCAGAGAAAAACGTCAAGAGATTGCAACAAAGAGAAGAGAGAATAGGCGTACGAAACAGAGCCAAGCGACGCATACTGGGAAATGAGAGTGGTGCAAAAGAACAAGTTGAGGTGGAGGTTGGCTTTGAGAATTGAAGTGTGGACACATTTCAAGGATTTGATTGTACTGCAATTTTTGATGCAGTTGGTGCATGATTCAGAATCAATAGGCCGAGGAGGTACCGGAAGTTGGAGACTTGAGTGGCAGAGACGGCGGAAGAAAAGGAGGCTCCGGCAGCGAATCACAATCATAAGCAGCCCCGATTTTGAAACTTTTTTGCTTGCGAGATCATGGAAGAGTTCTTATTAAAAATAATTTGATAAACAAAGTTTAAAATATACTAAAAAACTCAATCAGCTCAACTCAATTCGTGCTATTTAAGTTTTATTAAGAACTTATTTGAATCGAGTCGAGTTAAAATATATGAAAAAAGTTATCGGGTCTACCTAAAACGACATATTTTTCTTAAAATTTTTATTCGACCTCAGGACGATGTAAAGACGTTCAAAGTAACAAAAACTCATGTTGACCGTTCTTGACTGGATTTTTTGATCTTCAATGGCGGATTTGGGACGGTTCTTGGTATTCTCCGCCTTTTCCCTTCCAAAACCCTAACCTCCTTCTTTCTCTTTCTCTTTTCATTTTGTCCGGGCTTGGGGCCAAATGACCATTTTGCCCCTAGGTTGATTGTGTTCGGTGGGTAGAGTGAACTAAAACCAACGACCTTACTAAAAATAATTTAATTAAACGTGTTCGAAAAAATACTTGAAAATTTGATCCGTTCAATTCAGTCCGTATTATTTAGGTTGTGTTATGAACTTATTTGAATCGGGTTGATTTCAAATTAATAAAAAACTTTATAGATTAGTTGGTTCACTTAATCGTAGAGTTTAGTCCACCTACAACGACATATTTTTATTAAAATTTTTACTTGACTTCGGGACGATATAAAAACATTCAAGGTAACGAAAACTCATGTTTACTGTTCTTGATTGGATTTTTTGATCTTCAATGACGAATTTGGGACGGTTCTTGGTATTCTTCGTCTTTTCCCTTCCACAACTCTAACCTCCTTTCTCTTTCTCTTTTCATTTTGTCCGGGCTTGGGGCCAAATTACCATTTTGCCCCTAGGTTGATTGTGTTCGGTGGGTAGAGTGAACTAAAACTAACGACCTTACTAAAAAAAATTTAATTAAACGTGTTCGAAAAAATACTTGAAAATTTGATCCGTTCAATTCAGTCCGTACTATTTAGGTTGTGTTATGAACTTATTTGAATCGGGTTGATTTCAAATTAATAAAAAACTTTATAGTTTTTGAGTTATCTCGAAACTAGATTAGGTTGAATCGAACCACTAGATTTATTTTTAATTTTTTAAAATAGGTTTTTGCTTCTATATATGTATATTTATTTTATTTAATTTCATAATTATTTTAATAATTTATTTTCTAGTCACTATTAAAAATTAAATTTAACTAATTTTTTAAAATACAATTTTGAAATTGAGTTCAAATATTAATAAAACGTTAGAAAATAAATAAATAGATATTTTATGAACTAACATTTTACTTTTATTAAAAAAAAAATTGAATAAATGATCCGAACTACTCTAACCAACTTAAACGGTTATTTAAGTTGAAAAATTTAGAATCCAAATAATTGGGTCGGGTCTAAAATATGTCCTAATTCAACGAACCCGACCCATTATTTAATAAGTGAGTGACCCATCTTCGCCAATTGATATCTTGTCTATTGAGCGGCTCACCCTTGGTTTTCTAACACAATAAAGGACGTGCCTACGGAAATGTAGAGGATTTTGAGCTTGGAAAAAACTTGAACCGAGTCCCCAAATGCGATCGAGCAAGTAACAGTCATCCCAATTTTTTTTTAAGATGTACTTGGTGATCACGTGAAAATGCCCTGGGAAGCTAAGTTTACTTATTATTAAGTGAATGTGGAAGCATTAGACCAAGAACCACACGTTAGGGACATCAATGGGACGTTTTACTTGGTAATATCGAATAGGACATAAAACTAGCTAAATCAAGAAATTGACCCATTAAATGACCCGTTACATATGAAATTTCAAAGTACGACCTAATACTATGAATTTACGATGTATAATGAATTTGAAGGTCGTAAGAGTATGTTTAGGGCATAAACCAACCGTAAGGATAAAAATGACCAAAATGCCCCTACAATATCTGCTATATTGTTTTAAGGCTTTAATGAACTTTGGATGACACGTTACATAGCACTTATTTACGACCTTATGAATGAGTTATGCATAATTTTACGATGTTTAAGGATGAGTATGATATATATGCTTTGAAGTACGACTTTATGAACCTCATAAACCGTCGTATACTTAGGTTCTGCCTTAGCCTTTTATGACATATCCCTAGAGTAAGAAGAATTACGATTTTTCTGACCCTAAGCCTAATACGATACCCAGTTAGCTAGACACCACTTTATTAAACTTTTCGTTAGGATCTCATATGTTTTCTAACCTAGGTGGGATGTCTAGCTCAGACTCGAGATGTTAGACTCCTATGTCGTAGGAGACAAAAGGAGAATGTCAGAGCCATTATTGATCGTTTCTAGATAAATGAACTAAGAGCTTCATGGATATCAAGACTACAAGTTTGATGAACGAATCAATTAGAGTAACTAACACATGTTTAATGAATCTTAGTCTATGATTGGTCCGAGAGTCATATTTAGGGTTGATTTTGATTGTATGGGTTGCCTCGGGGTGATTAGGGTGCAACTTTTAGTTGTGAACTTGTCTCAACTTATGAGGTTTACTTAGTAAAAAGAAATACGACATCTGTCCTGTACTATTTAGAGTCTGGAATAACGTATAATATAAAGCCTATTAGGGTTTAGGGAGCTTCTAGTTAATGTTCAGTAGTAGACACGAACGAAACCTATTAGGGAAACCGTAGAGAGTTTGCTAATAGGTAGACTTGATCCATACTTCTCGATTCAGCTTAGAGCCCAAGATTTGATGAGGGAACCCTTACTCGTAAGTCGAACGGGTATTGACTTAAACAGACCAAAGAGATTGGCTAAGTGCACCTAGAACTGCAAGTATCCACGATAGGTGGCCCTATTGTACGAGTGACGAGGTTCAATAAAAGAATTAACCTGATAAGGCTAGATAACCAAATTATGAAACTGACTAACCCTAAAGCCGAGATAAAACACAAAGCCTATAAGTAGCTTGCTTACTAGGTATTTGAGTCAGGGAATGCAAACACATGCAACACATGCAACATGGGCAAGAACCTATCATTTAAAACCATAGTCTCTTAGGTGGCCTCTAGTCTTGACAAATTGGATGTATAGTACTTCCCTACACATGACCCACACGTGCGAGTATGCTCGGTGTCGTTGCTGTTTCTACTCTAGTATCTCGTCCTTTGTATCGTGCCAAACTAATTCGTTCTTCATCGCCTTTTGGGTCTTTTACACTCTCAGACAACAAGGGTGTGTTGAGTGGCAAAGTGGGGTTGAGGGCGTTTTTGAAGAAGAGGGCGGCGTGGGCTGGGTGCAGATATCTCATGGTTGCCTCTATCCGAAACTACGAGATTTCTAGCGAAGCTGAACTACTCTGCTATTTTTTTTTTCTTCAATTCATTACAAAAAAAACAATATTCAACCGACCCTAAATTTTATAATTTGGATTAGATAGTCTAAATGGATCGGATTTTTAAGTTTTGTAAGACATAAATATAGGTTGGTTGAGAAGAACACTTGTCTCGACATCCTTTCCTCCTCAACTAACCCATTTACTCTCCACAAGCAACTACACTGCGCGTCTTTGTCCGCCACCGCCACCACCAAATGCGGTGGCCGGCCTCGAAGACTGGCGGGCTTGGCCTCATTGCCATATCATACATCTCCATTGACTACCTCAGCCACCTCTCGCCGGCATGGCATGCCCGTCTCCAGCCAGCTCTTTGGTCCCTTCTTGCCCTTGCCGCCGTCGTTCGTGTTCCCTTCTACAAGCACTGGTCCTCCGAGTTCCGTTCCGCCATTCCATTTCTCTCCTCCATGCTCTTCATGCTCGCCACTCTGCTCTTTGAAGCTCTTTCCGTTCGTTTCGTCACCGCCGTCCTCGGTCTTGATTGGCACAGGTGACTCTAAGATCTGGATTTCTCTCTTTTGTGATACGTCTGTTAGCAGATAAAAAATAGTTGTGGATTTCTTGAATGATCAAGTTTGATTTCGACTTGGAGGTATCAGATCGACTTCTGATTTTTGAGCTGCGAAAACCTAAAATTAATTCCTCATCATATTAGATGTTTATGTTTAGGTGCGATTCTGCGTATCTGCGTTAATTAACTTGCCAGATTTGGAATATTTTTCATTTTCTTGTGTGAATCAAGAGATTGAGGATGGATCTGATATTTTTGGAGAGTAGTTTAGCTTGAGTTAACGGATTTCAAACTTCACGAAGGCGTTGACTGAATCTTTTTAAAAGCATTTATAACCTGATTGTTAGTGTAATTATGAGACAGAAATGGCTTACCCGTTTTTTGTAAAGGATTTCTGATTTTAGATCCATAATCGTTTCATAGCTCATTAGATTTGGTTTCTATCACAAATGGAAAGAGATCTGGCTAATAAATTCATTTTTTGCTCCCCGTATATTGACATTTTCCTATTCCTGTCAGAACCAAGTTTAGATGTTGCAGAGCGTCAGCCAATTGGTGTTCTTATTTTCATTTTGTAAAGATGGGTCTCACTTTGTTTCTTTTTTTGGATCTTAAATTAATGCTGCCCATAATGCTTCCTGTTGCATCCGTTATTGGTGGACTAATGGCTTTTCATCCATTTATTTAATCTAGTTCCTATGTTTATTTATAATATATTATGAAATTAACGAGATGCATTGAATGTGGATGAACGTTGATGCAGCCATTATGTTTAAAGAAGTCTACAAAGTCCTTGCTAGTTAGTTTTGAGGATTGATTCTTGCAAGAACTAGCAAGATTTTGATTAATCAGAGTAATTTCGATCTTGCCAACAAACATATTTGCATGTGTTTAGTAGTCTTTTTGATACCCAGTTTTGTTTTTGTTCTGTAGCAATTCAAGATCGTATTAGTAGATCAATCTTTTGTTATGATATACAGTAGATCAATCTTTTGTTATGATATACAGTAGATCAATCTTTTGTTATGATATACAGTGTGAGATCCCACATTGATTGGGGAGGAGAATGAAACATTCTTTATAAGGGCGTAGAAACCTCTCCCTAGTAGACGCGTTTTAAAAACCTTTAGATGAAGCCCGAAAGGGAAAGCTAAAAAGGACAATATTTGCTAGCGGTGGGCTTTGACCATTACAAATGGTATCAGAGCGAGACATTAAGCGATGTGTCAGCGAGGAGGTTGAGCCTCAAAGGGGGTTACACGAGATGGTGTGCCAGCAAGGATGTCGAAGGGGGGGAGTGGATTGGGGGGTCCCACATCGATTTGAGAAGGGAACGAGTGTCAGCGAGGATGCTGGGCTCCGAAAGAGGGTGGATTGTGAGATCCCACATCGGTTGGGGAGGAGAATGAAACATTCTTTATAAGGGTGTGGAAATCTCCCCATAGCAAACACGTTTTAAAAACCTTTAGGGGAAGCTTAAAAGGGAAATTTAAAAAGGACAATATCTGCTAGCGGTGGGCTTGAGCCATTACATACGAACTTCCATTACAGCATAAAGCTGGAATGAAACTTTCAAAAGATCTATTTTCTGTTGCTCATTAACAAATATGCAGTTTCATTCCCCTGTTGGTTTTGTTTTCAGTTCAATTTCTAAGATCGTGACTTTCTTGACATTTGACAGTGACACATCTCCTCTTCCTGATACGGGCCAATGGCTTCTCCTGGCGTTGAACGAGAAACTTCCTCATACTGTTGTGGAGATATTGAGAGCTCGGATTATTGGATTGCATCACTTCCTGATGTTGTTCATTATGCTTGCATTCTCTGTGCTGTTTGGCTCAGTAAAAGCTCCTGGACTCGGATTAGGTGCGAGGTATATGTTCACCATGGCAATTGGCCGACTTCTTAGAGCCATAACTTTTGTATCTACAATTCTGCCATCTGCAAGGCCATGGTGTGCCTATACTCGATTCCGAGTCCCAGCATATCCTCATCGTTGGGCACAGAAGTACTATGTTCCTTATGCTGAAGATGCTGATACAATTCGCCAGTTAATAAATCAGGACACAGCTTTTGGTAAGTGACTAACTGAAAACCATCATATTTAAGAGCAATTTAATGCTGCATTTTTTAAAATGTTAAGCACTCGAACTGCTTTGTAAGAAAATACTTGTCACTTTCATTGTGAGATCTCACGTTGATTGGAGAGGAGAATGAAGTATTCCTTATGTGTGTGGAAACTTCTCCCTAGCAGACGCATTTTAAAACCTTAAGGAGAAGCCCGGAAGGGAAAGCCTAAAGAGGACAATATCTGCTAGCAGTGGGCCTAGGCTATTACAAATGGTATTAGAGCCGGGTAGTGTGCCACCGAGGATTCTAAGCCCCCAAGGAGGGTGGATTGTGAGATCCCCACATTGGTTGGAAAGGGGAATGAAACATTCCTTATAAGGGTGTGGAAACCTCTCCCTAGCAAACGTGTTTTAAAATCTTAAGGGAAAGCCCAAAGAGGACAATATTTGCTAACGGTGAGCCTTGACTATTACATTCATAATACTCAACGTAGAACCAAACATCAAGATTCGATGATGATTTGTTATTGAGATGTATTAGCTTTGTAGAAGATAGTTTGCACATAATGAATTCAAATTTCTCTATTTTCTGAGTTAACGTGTAAAATGTTTTCCCAGCTGATCCGGGACAGATTCTTGGTGACTTCAGACCTGATTGGGGTAAAATGAGCTTCTTAATAGATTTCCTACGACCAACACCCTCTGAAGGATCTTCTTGGTACAATGTACTTAAGAAGGCCGGGGGTGGCTGCAACGACCTTGTATACAGCGGCCACATGCTCGTTGCCGTGCTCACGGCCATGGCCTGGACGGTATAAACTCTAGTGTGCAATGTGTTGATGTGATATATTGTTCTTTTCTTGGCTAATATATGCACTGAAACAGGAGGCTTATGGAGGTCTTAGCTCAGCAGTTGTATGGTTTTTTGTAATACACAGCGCTCAACGTGAAATACGAGAACGCCACCATTACTCTGTCGATTGTGTTGTTGCAATATACGTTGGCATCCTCTTATGGAAAATGACTGGTTTCATTTGGTCAGCGAAAGACGTCGTGAAACGAAAGAGGCTAGCAAAGTTGGAGAAAATTCAAAGTAAACTGGTACAAGCTGCAAAAGATGCAGACATTGATGAAGTTAGAGAACTTCTAAAAGAAATAGAGCTAACCAGTCAAGAGAGCAACAAAGAAGACAACCGAGGCCAGAGCGGAGTATTATGGTTCTTTGCTTGTGCAACGATATTTGCTGCGTTTGTCATCGTTCTTCTAGCGTTCACATGGACAAGTGATGGATAAATTTACTCGTAGTGATGACACGTTCCACGGTTTCACGAACACGAACACTGGTTATCCAATGCGAGTTTTGTATTGGTATCGGACTGCTCGGACTGCTCCCTCCGCCAAAGAATGGGGAAAAACTGATAATTCTTGGTTAGTTTATTGTAGAGTGTAATGAATGATGGTATGGTTTTTGATTGTCTTGTTTGATAAGTTAATTAGAAACCATTTATGGGTTTTGTGTTGTTATCCATACGAGATGAAATCTACTTGAGAGACTTAGTTCATGATTGGATACGAATACTTAAGGTATTAGATATAATTATAAGGGTAAAATAGACTTCTGATTAAGCTGTAATTATGAAAATAATCGACTTGCATGTAATCTGTAAGTCCGTACGGTCCCGATACTAGTTCATAATAACACCAAAAAGATAAATTTAGTTGAAAGAAAATTTTAAGTGTTCAAACTAATATTTAATATATTAGTAGAGTGAGATATTGAATGGGGATGAGATTACTCACCTAATTCGATTTCCAGAAAACTCTTCTCGAGATATCAACTTTTTTCGATCTCTTGAACAAAATCTTCCTCTTCCTTCCCTAAATCTAGATGTATAGGGCTTGTTGGACGAATTTCATTCTCACCTCCCGATTTGGTGGTCAAAACTCTCGAGTTTGTGGGCTTCTTCCATTGTAGAAAGTAAACCTATTGGTCAGGTCAAATAAAACCTCCTCGACCTTCCATCCCTCGTGAAAACCTTTCATTATTATCATAAGCTAACTAAATTGGTTTGATTTCAATTAGCTAAGACAAACCTAGACAAAGCTACAAAATCAGGGGAAAAATATATATGGGACTTGGGGTCCCCTCAAGAATAGTCGTGAGCATGTCAAGATTACAACACCGCACGGATGAAAAAGTATGACCGTGACACTCAACATGCAAGTTAGGGATCATACTGTGAGATCCTACATCAGTTGGAGAGGAGAACAAAGCACCCTTTATAAGGGTGTGGAAACTTCTTCCTATACGCATTTTAAAAACTTTGAGGTGAAGCCCGAAAAGGAAAAATCCAAAAATGACAATATTTACTAACTGTGGGCTTGAGTCGTTACACGTACACTTGTATAACAAGCTACTTACCTCAAAGAAACTTCAAAACGTGAGATGATAGCGTGTTTCATCATATAAAACTTCCAAGAATTCCAAATATACGTATACGTATATATATATATACATATATATACACATATACATATACGTATACGTATACGTATGTTCATCCATATGTCAACAAATAATTTAATGAATAAAAATGTAAGAAAATATTTTCCAACAATTTATATTTTAATATAGTATGATCACGAGATATACATTTAGTAAACAATTATATTTATTTAATAAACTAAACAACTTTACATCACATTATCGATTTAAATAAACAAAACATAATTAAAATAAAAAATAAAAAGAAATTTCAAAATTATTTTTACCACTAATAATTAGTTTTTAACAAAAAAAAAAAAAAAAACGCCATACTTTATTTTTACCCGAGTGGTTAGTACCTCGTTTCAATAATACTATTCATGTAACGACTTAATTTTCGAAGGACTCAAGTCATAAACGGCTACTTACAAAAGTGGATTAGATCAACTCATCAAGTTCCCATTGAAATAGGATCCACCCAAGGAAAAGTACTTGTCATTCGTTGGTTATTAGGGGCATCCCGAAAACGTGGCTTTCAAATTAAGTTCCGAATTAGTGGATGCTGCCAAAGGGAGTGGCGATGCCATACGTAAAAAGGAAGAGACTCATAGAATGGCAGAGGCAAATAGAGCTTTTGCACATTTTCGTTAATCCATGAACAGGATCTATATAGACACATAGGCCCATGGATCCATACATCTCGATCGGAAAAGAATCAATAGAAAAAGAAAGAATCGGAATTGATCGATATATTTCTCGAAACAAACGAAAAGGAAACGAAAGACGAAACGAGAAAAATAAGTGTGAAAGTTACTAAAAGGATTCAATTAACAAAACAAATACACGGGACACCTAATACAAAAGAAAACTTATAGGGCTGATCTTCGTGTGCTAGAGAGAAGACCGAAAAGTTTGTGTTAAGCATAAAGAAAGTAGGTTTTTGTCTTGTTTAGGCATTTGGTGTCCTTTCGGCCAGCCTACTTATCGACAGAGCCACCCTCTTTGGGGTCAGTGAGGAGGAAAATCCCCCACTCCGACGGTTTTCTTGTGTTAAAAATGGATACTTCTTGGTGTTTGCTGGAATTCCGACTTGGAGAGAAAATCAAAATATGATTTGGATCTGCTAGCCTCGTATAGTTACATAGTTCTGTTATGCTCCCATCTTCGACTACCTGATTCATTATTAGTAGACTCTTGATCTTATTTTGTAGCTAAATACCACACGTCTTGGTTCAGAGGCTATCGGAAGACAACCACTCAGTTCTCTAGGTTTATACAAGCTTAGGTAGGGTTTCTAAACCCTCTAACTATGTGTTTCTATGGTTCTAACCCCACGTAAGTCCTCATCGATCTGAGTCCATGTAACAATCGAAAATTAAAAAGAAAAATAAAAATAAAATAAAATTTGTCGTACATCGATTAGATTAAGAAAGTGGGGAGTTAGGACTCTAATATAAAAAGGGAGGTCGATTGGCTTATTGAGTCACAACAATTGTTTCGTTTCATCCCATTTTGGCGATTTGGAGCTAGTCCGAGAATCCATGTTCTAACGGCTTTGACTCAGCCTCTTGACTCATTCAGTTTGGATTTGATATTTTTGAATGCTCTTCAAGAGCCATTTCCAACACGTTTGGAGACATGGCGTCCTATGAAACATACATGTTCGACACGTATGTATGCCTCATAGAGAAAAGTATGGAGGTATGAGTTGCATCATAAGTATATGCCATGAGGGGATCTTATACATTTTGTATGTCATGTGCATCGGGATATTTTTCCATTATGATTAGTACAGACACATACATTAAGATATCTATTTACACTGTTATATTATGCAAGCTTCTTTCCCTAAGGCTCCAGCAATGTAAGCAAGTGCTAGTTGAAGGTCAGGCCTAGGGGTATGTATATGAGCACGTCTGGTGGGTCCACGTGTGCGTGCATGGACCGTGTATAGAGAGAAACTACACATTCAACTCCGTCTGGGCTGAAAAGTAGAGTTCAAGGTCATGATGTTTTTATTAAAAGATAGGTCCCACCATAATTGCAAGTAATTGCATTTCTCGGGCTACGTATTGAATATTTCTTTAAATATTCAAGTCACGTGCTACTTCTTTTTCAGGTAAAGATAAGGCACCCTTGTGTAGCGGATGACTTCACTATAGAGGCCATGAGAATGAAGTTAGGGGTAGGTTAGATTAGAGCGTTTTCATTCTTTTGAAATTATTGTTGTTTTGATTTCCGCTGTTATTGTTTACATCACTGTTACCTTTATTTTAAATGAACTTTGCAAACGTTTAAGTCTATGACAACGTTTAGACGTTTATATTTCTAAACGAATTTTTATACATATTAGGCATGTCATGCATGTAGTAGCGACTTCATTTTAGTAGTAAAAATAGGGTCATTACAATCTATTTCCCGTAGTTCATCATGGTCTAGCTTAATCACGAGCCTTATCATGTTGTGATATCTCATCACTCTACTTATCGGAGAATAACTACCCATCAATGTTCTATACAGGATTCTCAAGAGTTTTATCGTATCGAGGTCTAGTTTTCATAGTCTGGCTTAATCGAGCCCTCATCAGCTTGTGATATCATCACTAGGCTCATCGAAGCGTATCTACTCATCGAAGTTCTACATGGGATCTTAGGAAAAATTGGATTGCTATTTACTATAGCTCGTGGGGTATACCTATATGTCATGATTTGTGAGGCATGACGTCATTTTGGTTCGAACGTGGTTTATTAGAACATTATGAAAAGTTGTCAATCGAGTAACAATTTCGTCTACTAGAAAAGAAGATGTAAGTCCATAAGTAGGTCTCGATAATCGTATAAGCACTAATATCACTATCGTCAACGCATAAGATCATAATTTTAATAAAACTCGAGAATTATGATTCATTCTACATATCTCAACCATTGTAAATTTAGGGACGAACCTATATCATACAATCATGGGGCTAAATGAGCTAACCAACTTATCGAGGTCCCGACCATTATACCATAATTATCAGATAAGCTCAATACTAGCTTATTCATACACGTTCAAATTCATTCTATAAGTATTCTACAAATCTCTTCTTCGAGCGAATAATTCTCTTCAATCCTTGAAGATTTTTTTTTTTTTCGAGAGGCTCCCACAAGCCCTGTTCATGTTTCAAGTCACGACATGGAAGACTTCACGGGAAATATTTCATTTACCAAATTTAAAGAAAAATCCCGACATACAATTTCTCTATATTTCTTCAACTTAAGTTTGCAAGTCAATTCCACGACTTCTATCGTGAATGTCGGGTTCATTCCCAACAACATGGACCATTGTTATAAGGATTAAAAATAAAAAAAACGTGATATTTTCTATTTTTAACAAAATTAAGAATATTTTAATATTTGTAATCGAGATTAGTAATACATTCTGACTCGTAAATATTTAATATTTGAACTTTATGAAATTTTAATAATTAATATAATATATATGGTATTATAAATAATATATTTTAAAAAAATATTAAAAATATAACCCGACATTTTGGGCGTGTATACCTCTAAGTATCATAAATTCTTCGATTTTTTAATTATAATTAACTTAAATGAATAAAAATTATAAATGATTATTTAATTTAAGGTTCGGTTCGGTTCGGTTCGGTTCGGTTCGGTTCGGTTCGGTTCGGTTCGGTTCGATGAAATTTAAAGTTTTAAAAAGGTAATTTCAGCCGTTTTCTTGTGAGGTCCTCTGGCGCTTTATTCTTTTTTTTTTTTCAATCCAACAATGCGTAGTGAAGGAAACCACGTCGCCATTGGCATCTATAAATACCTCTCTCTCTCCTCGTTTTGCTTTGTAAACTCCATTTTTAGAGAGAGAAACGAAGAAGCATTGGTTCATTAGCTGAGAGATACAGAACTGAGAATGGGATCGCCGTCCGGCCAGATCAGTGGCTACGATCTCTCATTTAAGGTGCTTCTTATCGGCGATTCCGGCGTCGGTAAAAGTAGCCTTCTACACACCTTCATTTCCGCCTCTGTGGACAATCTCACTCCCACTATTGGTACTTCCTTTTTCTAACTCAATCGATTATGTTCCTTCTCTTTATCTACTCTCAATCTGTTTGGTTGCTTCGAAAATTAAGTGATTGAGTTGATTCTTTGTGTTGCATTGTGCTTCTTCTAGTAGGTTTCGATTTGTTCATTTGAATTTAATGGAGAAAGTAGAGGAGTTGGAGATTTTAGATTGAGGAAAGTATAGGTGATTTGTGGAATTGAATTTATTCTGATTAGTTGTTCTAAGGGAGAATTCGTGTTCACTGTCATCTATAGGTGTGGATTTCAAGATCAAGCAACTTACGATTGGTGGGAAGAGATTGAAGCTGACTATTTGGGATACCGGTAATGAACTGAATCAAATGGATCTCTGTTTTACGTTTTTTATGATTTCAATTTTGGAGTTGGACACTGAACTTTGGATCGTTTTGAAAATTTAAATATAGGCTAAAATATATTTTTAGTAAGATTTTTTTAACCTATATTTAAATTTTCAAAATAATAAGATTTTTTTTTCTGTCCTTTTAATGATTTTGCCTCTATAGTTGGCAAGTATTGCAATCGAACATCTAGGGTTAAATTTATTTCTGTGATCGAGGCATATTAAGAGAGAGGTAATTGAATCACTTACCCATATTTCATCCATAAGTTATTTGTCAATGAAAAAAAATAATAATAAGTCAAAGATTTCATTGCGATATTTTTTTTTGAAGGACTTGTATTTTAATAGATTGTGGGCAGGGAGGAAAAGATAACTCTTATTTGGAACCGTTTTTTGGTCTCTGTTCTGTTAATTTATGTTGCAATTACACTTTCTTTTCCATTAATGACTGAAGATATTTAAGTTCTCCATGCAAGATGGTTACGCTTGCTTGCTTATAAGTATAAACTAAAAAACAATTCACTCGTCAAAAGGTGGATGGCTTCCTGAAGCATTGAATTATCCATTCAAAATTTGTTGAGAGCTTCAAAATTAATAATTTAATGTTACTTAAAGAAAAGGTGGGCTGACTTATTGAAGATTTAACATGGCGCAGCTGGGCAAGAGAGGTTCAGATCACTAACTAGTTCATACTACAGAGGTGCTCAAGGGATCATTCTTGGTAAGCTATCAAATGGTAATCTTGTGCTTCGAATTAGATGCATTCAGTGATTTACTGTCAGCTTTCAGAGTCCATTGAATGTACTAAAACATATCAAACGATGTATTACAATGAATCTCAGCTTTTTTGGTATGTGCTGATAGAGTATTGATTGAGTTGATCATGCCAATGAATTAGGAGAAGGATATGCAGAAGATCGTTCGTTATTTTTCTTCTTATTCTCTAAAACCTCTTTTACAATTAACGAATCGGAAATTATTTATAGATTCATTTTGTTGAATTCTCTCTGAACTCAAATTATGGTCAAGATGGGGCTAGTTATTTCAGTCATTGGATGAATATGAAGGTGCACTGTCTAGCTTGAGATACTGCTTTCGTGAAGTTGATTGATTAGAATTTGAGGTACCGGATTGATGGGTATTTTTGGATAGAACTCTATTGTTTATGTTTCATTCTTTTCTATTTCCTCTTTTAAAAGAAGTGCACGTTCGTTGTGAAATGTGTTAGTTCTCATCAAACTCTTTAGATCCTAAAGTGAGAATTCATGAAGAATTCTAAAGTGACACTTTCTTATATTACATTACTTTTGGTCTAGTGATATTGTTGTAATTTTTGTTTGTCTTAGTATATGATGTGACTCGGAGAGAAACCTTTACAAACCTATTGGATGTATGGGCAAATGAAGTTGAGCTTTATTTGACAAATCAGGACTGTGTCAAGATGCTCGTTGGAAACAAAGTTGATAGGGTAAGTCCTTTGTATCTCTTACGACACTCATGGTCAATAATACAGTTTATAAATGCATAAACTAGGATGTCTATGTGTAAAATGGAAGGATTAGACACTAATGACTTTATCGAAAATGGCATGATAATCTGATCTGAAAGGACCTCAGACCATTAAGTATTTGAGGATGCTTAGTCGCATTACTCTGTTGTCTGTTTTGGCTCATTACGTATTGTCGTCAGTCTCACAGTTTTAAAACGTGTGTACTAGAGGGAGGTTTTCACACCCTTATAAGGAATGCTTCATTCCCCTCAATCGATGTGGGATCTCACAATCCACCCCCTTGGGAGCCTAGCGTTCTTACTGGCACACCGCTCGGTGTCTTGCTCTGATACCATTTGTAACAGCTCAAAATCACCGCTAGTAAATATTGTCCGCTTTGGCCCTTTACATATAACCGTCAACCTAACGGTCGGAGAAGGGAACAAAGCATTCCTTTTAAGGGTATAGAAACTCTTCTTAGCAGACGTGTTTTAAAACTGTGAGGCTGACGGTGATACGTAATGGGTCAAAGCAGACAATATTTGCTACTAGTGGGTTGGGTTGTTACAAATGGTATCACAGCCAGGCACCCGGTGGTGTGCCAACAAGGACACTGGTTCCCAAGAGGGGTGGATTTTGAGATCCCACATTAGTTGGAGAGGGAAACAAAACATTCCTTATAAGGATGTGGAAACATTTTCCTGATACATAACGAGCCAAAAAAGACAATATCGGCTAATGGTGGGCTTGACATGTGCAGATTTATGGCATATCTAACAAAAAAAAAAAAAAAAAAANATTTATGGCATATCTAAAAAAAAAAAAAAAAAAAAAAAGTCAGAGCTGCAAAATTTATTAATGTGTTGCAATAATCTCAGGAATCTGAAAGTGCTGTAAGCAGAGAAGATGGGATTGCACTTGCCAACAAGCTTGGATCTTTGTTCCTTGAATGCAGCGCTAAAACCAGAGAAAATGTAGCGAAATGTTTTGAAGAACTTGCAATTAAGGTACTTTTTAATACAACAGTTATCATTTAATTACGTTAGAAAGAAAACCATTGACATTTTACATGTGAATATGATATGCAAAAACATAGCAGATTGGCTGTTGGTGGACACAGTAAATAGTTTAAGAAGTTGAGTGTAAAAATGGTTGTTTCCTTTTAAATACCGAAACATGTAGCCAATAGTAATAGTGATAAGTCGAAGCCCAAGCCCACCGCTAGCAATATTGTCCTCTTTGGGTTTTCCCTCAAAATTTTTAAAACGCATATGCTAGGGAGAAGTTTCCACACCAGGATAAAGAATGTTTCGTTCTCCTCTCCAACCGATGTGGGATCTCACAATCCATCCCCCTTTGGGGCCTAGCGTCCTCGATGACACTCGTTCCTCACTCCAATCGATGTGGTATCTCACAATCCACCCCCTTAGGAGCCCACTCGTTGACACTCGTTCCTTTCTACAATCGATGAGCGATCTCACAATCCACCCCCTTAGGGTCCCAGCATCCTTGCTGACACTCGTTCCTCTCTACAATTGATGTGGGATCTCACAATCCACCCCCCTCGGAGCCCAGCATCCTCGCTGGCACACCGCCCGAAACTAGGCTATGATACTATTTGTAACGGCTTAAGCCCACCGCTAGGAGATATTGTCCTCTTTTAGCTTTCTCTTTCGGGTTTCTCTTCAAGGTTTTTAAAACGTGTCTACTAGGGAGAGGTTTCCACATTCCTACAAAGAATGTTATGTTATCCTCTCCAACGGTTGTGGGATCTCACAATTAGATCTAGAGGTGAGAGGTGAGGCCACAGGAGGGGCAAAGATTCTGTATTTTAACTTTTTATATATGATTTTTTAATTATGAACATTTAGGAGGGAAAATAAGTGAAAAAAAACCCCTAAAAGTATGAACATCTTTATTTGATCTTCTCAATTTCCTGCCCTTGATTAGTACGCAAACAACACTTTTAGAATTAGAGGAAGCTCCCAAGAATTTGAGAAACGTGAAATTATTATTTGGAAACTTTGCATGTATGTGAGATCCCACGTTAGTTGGAGAGAGGAACGAACCTTTCCGTAGTAGACCTGTTTTAAATGAAAAATCCGGAAGGGAAAGTCTAAAGAGGACAATATCCGCTAGCAGTAGCCTTGGGCTGTTACATTATGTATTTCGTAATTGTTGATTGTAAATATTGTGCAGATAATGGAGGTTCCGAGTTTCTTGGAGGAAAGATCCAGTGTGGTAAAGAGGAACATGTTACGGCAAAAGCAGGAAGGTCAAGGTCAACGAAGTGGTGGTTGTTGCTCTTAGAAAGCAGCAGCTTATATAAAAACCTCATCATTGTATATGTAAGTTTCTTCTCTTACACTGTTGCTTTCACTATTCAGTAGTAAGTGATTATTTGTACAATCTGAAAAAAAAAAAAAAAAAAAAAAAAAAAAAAAAAAAAAAAAAAAAAAAAAAAAAAAAAAAAAAAAAAAAAAACTCTCATAAAATTACATTGATTTGCTTGTGGAAAGTAAGAATTTAGCATAAAAAGTTTAGAATTCAATCACATATTATCTTATTTAGTTTTTGAGTTGAGATGAAATTAAAAATTTACAAGGTGAATATTGATGAAACTTGACAAGCAGGGAAACGTCATAGAAAAAGTTACACAGCCTAATTCCTGTTAGATGAACAGGACTCTCCACAATGGTATGATATTATTCCCCTCCTCTTAATCAAGGCTCGACTCCTTTTCTTTTGGAGTCTTAGTCATTTTTTACTATGCCTTCGAGGCTCACAATATTTTTGTAGTTTGTTCGATATTTGAGGATTCTATTGACATGACTAAGTTTAGTGCATGACTCTGATACCATGTTAGATGAACATGACTCTCCACAATGGTATTATGATATTATCCACTTTGAGCATAAGCTCTCAACACTTCTCTCGAATAAAGTACGCCTCCCCTTAATCGAGGCTCGACTCCTTTTCTTTTGGAGTGTTAGCCATTTTTTATTATGCCTTTGAGGCTCACAATACTTTTGTAGTACTTTTGCTCGATATTTGAGGATTCTATTGACATGACTAAGTTTAGGGCACGACTCTGTTACCATGTTAAATGAACACATTCTTTGCTTTATGCTTCCCAAAAAGGTCTCACACCAATAGAGATAATATTCCTTAATTATAAACTCATGATCATTACTTTCATCCAACAATCCCAAGTCCGAATTTTTATAGAGATCGTTTGGTTCAAAGTTTTATTTAGGAGGTCTGGAAAAAAAAATGTCTGGAAATAGAATACCAGGTAATCAAATAAGAATTTTATACCAGTATTTTCAATAATTTTATTATTATTTAATTTTAGATAATTCAAAACACATTAATTGAAAAAAGAGGTGGATTTGTAATAGCACTCCCCTTTCATTAATTGATACTTTGAAACGGGTTTCATCTGGAATGAAAGAACAAAAAAGGATTTATGCGAGGATCCAATTCTAGGTTACGTTTCATGAATTACGACTCTCCACAATGGTATGATATTATCCACTTTGAGCATAATCTCTCATGGCTTTGTTTTAGGCTTTCTCAAAACGCCTCATACCAATGAAAATAGTATTTTTCATTTATAAACCTATGATCTTCCACTAAATTAACCAATGTGGGACTCACTCCCAATAATTCTCAACAATTCTCCCCTCAAACAAAGTACACTATAAGCCTCCCCTGAGGCTTATGGAGCTTTCAAATAGTCTCCTCTTAATCGAGGCTCGACTCCTTTCTCTAGAGCCCTCGAACAAAGTACACCCTTTGTTCGAAACTTTAGTCACTTTTGACTATACCTTCGAGACTCACAATTCTTTGTTCGATATTTGATGATTTTATTGACATGACTAAGTTTAGGGCATAGCTCTGATACCATGTGTTGGCTAGTTTAGGGCATAGCTCTGATACCATGTTATGAATTACGACTCTCCACAATGGTACGATATTGTCCACTTTGAGCATAAGCTCTGGTATCATAATAAAAGTAGCCATGCCCTAAACTAGCCAAGTTAAAACTGGAAGCAACAGTCTTCTACGTGTGTCATAATAAGAGTATGACGACGGAGAGCTCATTTGTGCAGCCTGCAATTCCGAAATTTGATGGGTACTATGATCATTGGGTGATGCTCATGGAAAACTTTTTGCGTTCAAAGGAGTATTGGGATTTGGTGGAGAATGGGATTTCTGTAGTAACAGAAGACATCGTTTCCACAGATGTCCAGAAGAAACACATTGAAGATCAGAAGTTGAAAGATTTGAAAACAAAGAATTATCTATTTTAAGACTTAGATCATTCGATCTTGGAGAAAATCCTCAACAAGAATACAGTAAAGAACATATGGGATTCTATGAAGTAGAAATATCAAGGTTCGACACGGGTAAAGCGTGTACATTTGCAAGCTATTCGAAAGGAGTTTGAAATGCTTCATATGAAGGCAGGAGAATCTGTAAATGAGTATTTTGCTCATACCCTTAGCATAGCCAACAAGATGAAATAAATGGTGAGAACAAAGGAGATATTGAACTAGTTGAAAAGATTCTGAGATCTATGACTCTCAAGTTTATTATGTGTTCCATTGAGGAGTCCAAGAATACAACCATCCTTAACCATTGATGAGTTGCAAAGCAGTTTGCTTGTGCATGAACAATGCATGAGTTCTCATGTTGAAGAAGAAAACAATTTGAAGATCACTCATGGTGAACAATCTGGAGGAAGGAGTCAAGGTCGTGGACGAGGCAGACAAACCTTCAACAAGGCCACAGTGGAGTGCTATAATTGTCACAACCTAAGACATTTTCAATGGGAATGTCAAAGCAAGGAGAAGGAGGAAAACTATGCAGAGACTTGAGAAGAGATGTTGCTGATGGCTTACGTGAATATGAATAAGGCCAATAGAGAAGATATGTGGTTCCTTGACTCGGGATGTAGCAATCATATGCGTGGGAAGAAGGAATATTTTTCAGATTTTGATGGAAGTTTCAGAGATTCAGTGAAGTTAGGCAACAACTCAGGCATGGATGTAACGAGAAAGGGTAACGTACGATTGCAAGTGAATGGAATCATACTGATAATCATAGGAGTGTTCTATGTGCCAGAGCTGAGGCATCTACTGAGTATTGGGAAATTGCAAGCAAAGGGGCTTAACATTTTGTTTCAAAATGGAACGTGCAAGGTGTTTAATCTTGAGAGAGGCTTAATTATGGAGACAAAGATGTCTTTGAATCAAATGTTCGTACTACATGCTATATCTCAGCCTATAGCAACCGTTCAAACTCAATTGAAACTTATGGGGAGAAGTGTTTCAAGGTCTCCATTGTACACTCCTCGCTCCAATTCCTATCACCATAGTCGGAGAAGCAAAAGAAACCCAAGTCCTTCCCCCTATCATTCCACTACCCGTTCCAGGAGAAGGAGCCATTCAAGTTCCCTCAGTTGCCGACGCAGAAGTAGGTCTTCCTCGTTATTTCCTTTCCCCAAATCGTCTAGTTCCAGTCCTAGTCGTGCATCCACTAATAAAAAACATTCCATAGAGAAGCTTAAGAAAGAGGAAGAAGAGAAGAAAAGGCATGAAGCAGAGTTGAAGAAGTTAGACGAAGATGCAACTAGGAGGATAGAAGAATTAATAAACAAGAATGTTGAAGAAAGGTAAACTCTAAAGAGACTAAATTAGAAATACAAAGGCGAATAGAGGAAGGTCGCAAGAAGTTGTTTGATGATGTTGATGTGCAACTTGAGAAAGAGAAAGAAGCCACCCTTACTGTTGCAAGACAAAAAGAAGAACAAGCACAGAAAGAGAAAGAAGAGCTAGATAAAATGTTGGAAGAGAATAGGAGAAGGGTAGAAGAAGCTCAACAACGATTAGCTCTAGAGCTGCAACGGAAGGAAGAAGAACGATATCGTGAGCTCGAGTTGATTCAGAGAACTAAGCTAGATGATAAGAGTTTAAGTTGTGTTTTGCTGGGAGTTAGTGAAGAGTCAAAAGCTTACGAACTATGATATAGAAGCGGCGGATGAAAATACTACAGAGGAAAATATTTCATCTGGCTCTTTGGCTGAAGCAAGCTCTCCTAGCTTAAATAAGGCGAGGAATAGGAGACCACCAGTTTGGATGAGAGACTATGCAATAGGAGAAGATTTTTGTGAAGAAGATGATGAAGCTAACTCGGTCATGTTTACCACTACTGATCCTGTAAACTTTGTAAGAAGACGCATTGATTTAAATGCGAATTGAAGAGAGAAATGGAGGCAAACTATGGATCTGGAAATGGAAGCAATAAACAAAAATGACACATGGGAATTGATGAAGTTACCTGAGGGTGAAAAGAAGGTTGGAGTAAAATGGAAAGAGGACTACTAGAAGTCTTTTATGAGGTCGAAGATATAAACTGATTACTATTTGTGTTCAGTTTAAGGGAGAAATTGTTAGGTTTAGATTTGTTTTAGTTATTTGGATTAGATTTTATTTAGCCATACCAAATTTAGTCCTACTGGAATTTGTTCCTAACATTTGGTATCAGAGTCATGCCCTAAACTAGCCAACAGGATCAAGATCCAAGTTTTAAGGACAAGAACCAAGAACTAAGAACCATAGTACTAAGACTCTTCAATCAGAACCAAGGTTTCAGAATCCAAGGACCTAAGTCCTTAGGATAGACCATGATAAGAACCCACAAGTCAAGAACAAGAACTAGAGGTTTTAAATACTTACAACAACAACGAGAATAAGAAAAGAAAGAGTATGGTACCCAAGCATATGAAGGACATGATTAAGAGCCTACAAGTAGGCTACCTACTGAGTCTTTGTACTCATTCCTTATTTTTCATATTTTTTTAGGTAATAAGTCGAGGTCGGGAGAGGACTCTAGAGTAGGTGCCATAGACAACCCTCACCCATCGTCTTTTGTTTAAAAATGTTTTGTGTCCGTTCCTTATTTTGTGTTTTAACTACTTATGTATGAACACTATTTTGTCATATAATATAAATATAATGTATATTATGTTTTAAATTCTGTTTGTTTTATTCTGCGAAAAATTTACTCGTCTTTTTGGAGTTATCGAGTCAGCCCGATCCTTACATTAAATTAAATTAAATTTTAATTTGTAATTGTGGACCTCCTTAAAATTAAATTTTAGAGACTAATGTTAAGTTAGCAAGGGTAATAGCTTTAGTCTAGGCCAATTAAGTAAGTGGCCCTACCATCAATTTGGTTATAATTGTATGCTAAATGATGACACGTGCAAGTGGCTTCACATGTGTCATATGCTTGTATATGCAAATTATTATGAAATGATATGTGTATGAGATGATATGTGAATATTATGTTGTATGTGATGAATTGATATGTTTAAGATATGATATGTTTGAAAGCATGTTTGAGTTATATTATGTGA